CCCAGCCCGAGCCCACGTGGGGGTCCCACTGCAGGAACGGGGGCGCGGAGCTGGTGGAGGGTCCCGGCACCCTGCAGAGCCCCGTTCCCCCACTGCCCTGTCTTGCAGTAGGCCAGGGAGGCACGAGGCAGCTGGGAGTGGGACCCCGCCCTGGGCTAGGACCCGCAGCCCGCCCACAGCCCCCCAGGCCAGCCGTTGCACCCAGGAGAGGGGCTTGGGAGCGCTGCTCTGCAGAAAGCTGGCCCAGTGGTCACAATGCAAGGCCATGCCCTGGGAGATGCCCCTGACGGGGACAAAGGGGTGACAGGACCCAGCTAGGGCCCTGCTGGGGGTGGAAGGGTCACCGTGGGGGGTGGAGATGGGGGTCCCGTGGCCTGCAGGGGGTCGCTGGAGGCTCCCTGGTGCTGCAGTGGGGGAGATGCTCTGAGCCCCCCAGGGCCCTGCTTAGCCCCAAAGTCCCTGTGGCCGGTGGCTGCCCTGCCCTGGCAGCCCTCCCCTCCCCCAGCACCGAGCTACTCCCCTTGCTGCAGCCCAGGTGCAGAGAGCCACAGCGGTCCCTGCCAGGGGGTCCCCGATTTCCTGGGAGAGGCTTCGTCAACACCCCTGCCCCCAGACACCCTGCCTGAGGCTCGGTTCTCCCCAGGTCCGGTCCTGCACCCAGCCAGCCAGGCCCAGGCACACCTGCAGCATCTCCCCAGCTCACGCTCCCCGTGATGGCGCGGTTGAGCCCCGCAGCCCCTGCTGCCCCGCAGCAATCCCTGCTGTGCCAGGGAGCCTCTGGCCCCCTGGGCTCCTGCCGACTCATTCTCCCTTCACCACCACCCCCCACCCCCGGAAAAAGGGGCCAGAGCTGGAAACGTGCAGACACAGCAGCATCAATCCGTGTCCTGGCACAGCGGGTGAAGGTACCAGCCTCGCTGGCTGCCCTGGCACAGACCCTGGCAGAGCCCTGAGCCCCGCAGGCCCCATCCCCAGAGACAAGGCAAAGCTGCGTAACGTCAGGCTACCATTTATTGTAAAAGGCCAGCGGCGCCCACAGTGCCCTGAGCAGGCTTGGCCAGGGCCACAAGGAGGTATTTGAAAGTACTATTTACATCAGGCTCCACAGTTTGAGTCCCCAGGGTCTGTCGCCCTGCTGGGATCCCCCCTCTACTCCCAGCTTTCCCCCCCAACCATCTCAGTAAAAGCTCTTTGCAGCCCCCTGGGCCTGGCCCTTGGTCGGGTCCTTCCCCAACTGTCCCTGGCACTCCCCGGGGCCAGCAGGGCTGGTGTCAGAGCGGCTCAGGGCCGGCGTTGGCGGGACGTCTGTGCCCGAGGGGCAGCCCGACGCATCGTGGCAGGCGGCACCGGGGCGCTCCCCTCGCTTGCCCATGGTGAGGA